CCGATGATGATTTATGTCTAGTGTCGCACAAGCTCGAAGATCTACAGGCAAAAACCAACAAGTTGACAGAAAAGGCAGCGAAAACGGGACTTCAAGTGAACGTATAGAAGACAGAGATGATGAAGATACCCAACCAGCAAGAACAACAACAAGCGCCAATCACCATTAACGGGAGAAACCTAAAGGAAGTTGTCTTTTTCACCTACCTAGCCAGCATCGTTTCAACTACAGGTGGCACAGATGAGGATGACAAAACCAGGATCAAAAAAGCAGAATAAGCTCGCATTAATTTAAAATCAGTGTGGAAATCTACTGCTCTCCACTCAGCATAAAGAACGACATCCGGATTTTTAACACTAACGTCAAGTCAGTGCTTCTATGTGATGGTTGAGAGACTTGGCGCGTTACGAAAAGCATTTCCAACTACAGATATTCATCAACAGCTACCTACACCCGATACTGAAGATTAGATGGCCAGAAAGAATAAGCAAGAAGGCGATCTGGCCTGGGAACGAACCAACCAAGAACCCCTCGCTCAACAAATATGCAGAAGAAAGTGGAGGTGGATTGGGCATAAACTGAGAAGACCATTCGGGGACATCACGTGCCAGGCCAGGCCCTCGAGTGGAACCTGTATGGGAAACGACGAGTTGGGCGTCCAAAGGTGACATGGAAGAGGTTGTGCGAGGAAGAAATGAAAGCTTCCGGGCAGTCGTGGAGTAAACCTCAAAAAACTCCAGAGAACAGAATACAATGGAGGCGTGCTACTGAAGCCCTATGTCCTACTAGGAACTGAAAGGATAAATAATAATAATCATAATCATCATAATAATAATAATAATAAATCGCATACTAAGTCCATCAGTATATATTTTGCCCTACAAAGCAGCTGAAATCGTGAGTAATCGAAATGATGTATGAAGAGGTTGGGAATAGTTGGAGTTAAAACAGAACCTAACTCTCAACTAAGCATCTCATCAATTTACGATATATACTCTGAAAATATGATAATGAAAGGTTAAGAAAAGGTCAATGAGTTAGGTGAAGATTCACTGTTAATCATACAAATAAAAGGTGACTAATCGAGTATACGATAAGAAAGTGACATTTTAGTGGATTATGTAACAAGAGACATATTGACAATTGATTTGAAATAATCGAATTTTATCATCCTGATTGACATGAACTCCAGATGAGAAAAAAACACCTACGGACATTCAGTCACACAGTGAACTTGTGTCATCATTTGACCCAGTAAAAATGCAAGTTTTACATACTAAGCAGCATACTGTAACAAACTTAGCAAACATACACTTAATGTTACTGATAAGAATTGATATCAGTAGTATATATAACGCAACACCGGAAAATATAAGGAAACAATAATTGAAATGTACTCAACAATCTTGTGTACATTCATGTAATTATTATTATTATTTATATTATTAGCCCCTTGGGTTCCTAGTGGAACATAGGGCTTCAGTAGCACGCCTCCAGTGACCTCTGTTCTCTGAGATCTTTTGAACCTGGTCCCACGACAGCCCAGAAGCTCTCATTTCTCCTCGCACGACCTCCTCCATGTCACCCTCACCTCGGACGTCCAACTCGTCGCTTCCCATCGGGATTCCACTCGACGACCCGGCCTGACGCGTGATGTCCTCCGTCGGCCTTCTCAGTGCATGCCCAATCCATCTCCACTTCTTCCTGCATATTTGTTGCGTGATAGGTTCTTGGTTGGTTCTTTCCCAGAGTTCCTTGTTGCTTATTTTTTCTGGCCATCTGATCTTCAGCAGCCAGCGTAAGCAGTTGTTGATGAATGTCTGTAGTTTATTGGAAATACCTTTCGTGACGCGCCAAGTCTCTGAACCATACAAGAGCACTGACTTGACGTTGGTGTTGAAAATCCGTATCTTGTTCCGCATGCTGAGTGCAGAAGATCTCCACACTGGTTTCAGGCTAATGAACGCCTGTCTTGCTTTTCCGATTCTGACTTTGACGTCCTCGTCCGTCCCGCCTGTAGTTGAAACAGTGCTTCCTAGATAAGTGAAGGAGGTTACTTCCTTCAAGTTTCTCCCGTTGACGGTGATTGGAGTTTGTTGTTGTTGATGGTGGTGGTGCGGTATCTTCATCACTTCTGTCTTCTCTATATTCACCTGAAGTCCCGTCTTCGCTGCCTCTTCTATCAACTTGTTAGTTTTTGCCTGCAGATCTTCAAGTTTATGTGACATTAGGCATAAGTCATCGGCGAAATCCAAGTCTTCTAGATTCTTTTCCGTCGTCCAGCGTATCCCCCTCTTCTCGCTCCCCACTGTTTGCTGCATGATCCAGTCCAGTTGACCACAATAAGGAATATCATGGGGGATAGTAGGCAACCTTGTTTCACTCCTGTCTTCACTTCAGAAGCATCACTCAGCTTCCCATTGTGAATTACTTGGCATGTGGCGTCGTCATATATCTTCTGTTGAACGAGGTTGATAAAGGTTTGTGGTATTCTGTAGTGTTGAAGCAGTTGCCAGATTACTTCTCGGTCGACGCTGTCAAAGGCCTTCTCAAAGTCGATGAAGTTGAGGCAGAGAGCTGATTGCCATTCTATGCTCTGTTCTATGATGATACGAAGCGTTGCAATTTGGTCTGCACATGATTTGTACTTCCTGAAGCCTGCCTGTTCCGGTCGTAGTTTTGAATCCAGTGCATCCCTTAGCCTCTCCAGGATGATGCGGCTTAATATTTTACTTGGGGTGGACAGGAGAGTGATTCCGCGCCAGTTCTTGCAAGCACTGAGGTCTCCCTTCTTCGGCAGTTTGACAAGGTAACCCTTCTTCCAATCGTCAGGTACCTTCTCTTCCTTCCACACCTTCTGCAATAGTGGTGTGAGCATGGCCGCTGTTGTCTCTGCATCTGTTTTCAGTGCTTCTGGCGGTATTCCATCTGGTCCTGCTGCTTTCCCGCATTTCAGTAGCTTTATGGCGTTCAGGACTTCCATTTTCGTTGGGGGATTAATGTTCACTTGTAGTTCAGCGGCTGCAGGTGGTATTTCTGGACGAAGTGCAGGTGGTGGTGGTGGTCGATTCAAGAGCTTCTTGAAGTGGTCGGCCCATCGTTTCCTCTGTTTCTCTTCTTTTGTAATTAAATTTCCTTCTTCATCTTTTATTGGTTTCATCTGTGTTGGTCTCTTCCCTGATAGCAACCTGGTTATTTGATACAATGTCGTCAGGTCTCTCTTACCTGCAGCCTGCTCTGCTTCACTTGCCAGTGTTTCGTTGAAGTGTCTTTTGTCTTTGCGTGCACTCTTCTTCACTTCTTTGTCCAGTGTTTTATACATTGTGCTCAGTTCCTCTTGTCGTTGAGCATCCTTGCACTGGTTTATCTTCTGCTTCACCATCCTCCTCTCCTCTATCAGCTTCCAGGTACCCGTCGAGATCCATTCCTTGTCTTCTTTCTTCTTCCTTCCTAATACTGTTGTGCAGGTTTCTTTCCACATAGCTTTCAAAGACTTCCAGTGTTCTTCCACACAGGTTTCTTCAGGGATGTCCCTCGATGTCTCCCATTTTGTCTTGATGGCTGCCTTGAAGATCTCCTTTGTAGTTTCATCCTTCAGTTTCCGAGTGTTGTACTTGAGTTGAGGTCTATCACCAGCTTCCTTGAAGGCTTTTAACTTGATTTGGAAGGTTCCTTGCACTAGATAGTGAGTGGTCTGAACCTACATCTGCTCCTCTTCTTGACCTTGTGTTAAGTAGACTGCGTCTCCATTTTCTTGAGATTGAGATAAAGTCGATTTGATTTTTAGTGTGTCCATCTGGTGAAATCCATGTCGCTTTGTGGATATCCTTGTGCCTGAACACACTGCCTCCAATCACCAAATCGTTGAATGCGCAGAATTCTGCAAACAATTCTCCATTCTCATTCATTTCACCTAGCGCCTCTCGACCCATGGTTAGTTCTCTTCCCGTGTTGTCCCCTCCCAGTTTGGCATTCATGTCGCCCATCAGAATTTTGATATCACCAACTGACGTCTTGTCCAGTGTTGATTGAAGTTGTCTGTAGAAATCCTCCTTTTTCTCTTGCTCTGCATTATTTGTAGGTGCATAACATTGTATGATTGTGACCTTTCTTCCTTTTGAGTTGAATCTTGCTGTCATGATCCTGGAGGAGATTGGTTCCCACTGCATGACAGCCTTCGATGCTCTTGAGGACATCATGATAGCCACTCCCTCAGTGTGCTCGTGGTTGGCGTCTGGGTGACCGGAGTAGATTATTGATTCTCCAGTTGACAGTTTGGAGAGTCCACTCTGCTTTCGCAAATCCCAAGCACTTCGATGTGATACCTTCTCATCTCATTTGCAATCTGGGCTGCCTTACTGGGTTCAGACATCGTGCGGACATTCCATGTCCCCACGTTTACTTTCGCTTTCATCTAGGGAGAGGAGACAATTGGCTTCCCGAAGGCTTTCACCAAACAGCGTCATTTCGCCTCTCCGATTCCAGCGGGGAATAAGTTTGTTTTCATTTTTTATATTTTGTTTGTGCTTTGAAGTTTCTTTAGCGGTTAGATTTGTTTTACGGGGTAGGGTTGCTAGCCCTATGCCCAACCTTCCCTCTTTACCCGGGCTTAGGACCGGCTAGTAACTAGTAAACTAGTTAACATTCATGTAATAGGCTGCTTAAACCCCTCGGTAGGTAGAGTCGGGCTCGAAATCGTGAACCAGCTGTTTGCTACTATAAGAAGTAATAACGAACGACTGATGAAGATTCTGGGGGGGGGGAGAAGAAAACACAATATGAGGTATAAATGTAAGTGGCAAAGGCATTACCCACCGGGATACTGAAAAGAATGCCTACTAATGTGACCTTCTGATAAAGTTCCTAATCAACCACCTTCACTCTCCTCCATCAGATAGAGACGCCAAATGTAATTACCCTCTTAAAAGTTATAGCATTAAAATTACTGAATTTCGATAAATGCATAATAACAATAATTATAATAATAACAAACAATTTACCACCGAATTCGCCGCGTCCAATACGATCACCCAATACAATGTCTTTACGAAAGATGAGATAACCGAGTTTCTGCAAATGACTCAATCGTTTCCTTTGCATATCTGGAACTGGATGATGAAGTTCACAAACCAGTCCACGCTTAGGCTGAGAGTAGAACTATAAGCGAAGAAGAGGAGAAAGAAAGTAAGAAGCGTGCAGACATATTACATGAATGCAACAAACATAAATGATACGAATGCTTGACTGAAGTGCTTATACTCAAGGAGTGAATACATCTGCCCCAGTGTCACTGATTTTCAGCTTTGTCACCGAAGAAACTTGTATTAGACCAACAGTTAGGGACTTCATCAACTGGTGCCATATCTTGGTCTGGCTACTCTGAACCCTCCTGCGATCTAATCCAACTTCTCCTAGGATGGGGCATCGAGATAGGCGGTGGTTCGGTATGCACAGCACACTTCCAAGCCACCTTAGTTGATGAAGTATCCGAGTAAATACATCGAGGTTCAGTTGGGCCGGGTTATTACATTCCCATAGACAAAGCCTTTCAGTATCAGTCTCTACACGGAATGTTCAGTGCAGCTTATCACATAGATTTGACACTGGCGTATCACTCATGCATATTTTGATTCCACTTTGTAAAACTGCAAAGATGAAGTCTGAACAATGTGTTAAAGACGATACACATCAAAAAGTACTCTTAGAACCAGCGATCTGTGGATAGCAGGCCCAATACTCTACCAAATGAAGTAGGAGACGCAACTGCCGACCAGACTTTATTCGTACACTTCAATCAGCAGGAGTTTCGCCCGTTATCATCACCATCGTTAAGATCATCATAGGACGTAACGGTCCGAGTTGCCACACCTCACCTCGTACCAGCACATCAAGCAACAAGACAATAAGATGGGAGATGAAGAAGTAAAGAAAAACTGGTCAAAAGAAGAAGCAAGTAGTAAAGGAGAAGGAAGAGTAAGAAAGTGATAACGTTAAGTATAGCATTCCTCACGCGCTGACACCACGAAAAACGGCCTATGCTACAAAGACAATGGTGGTCAAACACTAATAGCCTTTTCATGTCTTCTACCTTTAGTAGCCATGTTTCACAGACACACCGTAGAACGGACCGGACAGCAGCACAGTACACTCGACTCTGAATCGGTAGTTGGATATCTCTGTGGCTGGCATTGACCTCGCACACAAGTGCATCACCTCAAGTCGCCACACTTTAAAGTAGTAGCTTAAAAAAAGAGGTGAATAGAAAAGGAGTGATATCAAAGTAAAACAGAGTAGTGTGAGATAATGAACAATCTGAAGATGACCGTTAGTGCAAATATTCGAGCTTTAGATGTCAAGAAGCGAATAAATCTACGCCACAGTACCCGATTTTTCGACCATGTCACCAAGAATCCTCAACCACTGTGTCCTTCGCTTCAAGAAACCCAACCAGGGAGTCTACATCTCTCTACACGACTAAAACTAACAGTTAAGGACCTCATAGACTGGTACCCCATCTTAGTCTGCCCATCCTGAACCCTCTTCCAACTGAATTCAACTTACTCTAGCATTGAACGTTGAAGTAGGAGGTGACTCGGCATGCACAGTCCCAGTCCCCGCCACTCACTCCAGGTTTACAACCTCACCGATCGACTTGCATGTCCTTCCTAGTAACCACCTGACCTCAACACTTCCCATACGGTGATTCCACCAAACGCAAGCAATGCTATTAAGACATTTGTGAACAAAGCCAGTAATCGCTTCGATTCTCCTACTTTTAACAGCTATGTCTCACAGCCGTACAACAGGACAGAACGGACTGCAGTACAGTATATTGACCATTTGATAGATGATCGGATATCACACCGGCGACACAGATGGCGAAAGGTAGCAAATGTCAAACAGGCCTTCTGTATCCGAGTTGAGATTTTGCTACCAACCAGTCCGTTTAAGTGCAGTGGTCGGCGCATTCCACCATTCCACTCCCTATCATTAAACGGGGATTACTTTCAGTGGACCAGTCCTGAAGCATCATCTTACGTTTGACAGGTGACAGAGAAACCCAAGCCAAAAATATCCAGATTTCTGGTCAACGCGTTCACAAGACCCTGAAATTTATCAGCGTCTTCATCTATCAGGACAGTATCACCTGCATACTCCAAGTCAACCACATTACCTCCAGGGAGTAGGTCAAACAATATGAATTCAGATGTACCTAAAATTATGTCTATTGGTACGTCTAGAAAGAAGTTAAATAGGGAAAGCGACAGTGGGAATCCTTGCCGAACACCACTAGTTGTCGTCAATTCGCATGATAACTCTCCATAAGTCCTGACACGGCTGTGTGTCCGAGTAGAGAGATTTGACTAATGTTATGTACTTACTCCGTACTCCTTTCACAGACAGACACTACCACAACACATCACGGTCGACTGAGTCCAACCCGCCTTCAGGTCAAGAAATACGGCAAGTGTCGGCAAATGGCCGGTCGGCATGCCTGTGTTCGACAACTTGTCGGAGGGTGAAAATATGATCGACGCACCCTCGTCCAAGTCTTAAACCTGCCTGGTTTTCTCTAGCTCTAAGTATGAGCCGGATAAATATGGGCGCTAGGATCTTGGGTACAACATTAGTCAAACTAATTCCCCTGTGATTGAGATGATTAGTGAAGTACACCAGTCTGGTTCCCACACACTACACAGTAGCTCCGTCACTTTAATCAGCAAACTCTTACCCGGATCCTTGAAAACTTCAGGTGGCAAACTGTCAGATCTTGTTGCTTTGCATCGTTTCAGCCTTGATACAGCTTTCATAACTTCAAAGAGATTTGCAGGACCGACACATACATCCTATTCAGGTTCAGGCTGGATGTTGGGAAACTGAAGCGTTGCTGAGGGCCAGTTGAACTGTAGTTCAAAGTGTTCTGCTCAACGTTCTAACCGCCTAACCTGGAAGGTTATCAGCGTCCCATCCTTTTAGGTGATGGTTTCACTTACCACGGTCTTCTTCTTGTCAGTATTTTTAATAAGCTTAACTAGCTGCCTAGTGTTACATGACGCTGATGCCTTTTCCGTCTCTCTCGCATTCGTCACCCACCACTGCTCGTGGTCGAAGCGGAGACTCTTAGTCAACTTACGTTTGAGTTGCTTTCGCTGTTCATCGTGGTCATAGTCAGCTGCAATCAGTCTTCTCACATCAATCAGTTTGGACGACGTTTGGTAAACCCCATGTGTAGGTTACCAATTATCTTTACCGCTGTTTCTACAGTAAACCTAATATCACATCGGGTTTCCTCAAGATGAGCATTGTTGTCATGTCCAGATAAATGCTTAGATACCTCTTCCTGAAATTCGGACTTCACGTGCTCATCTTCCAATCGACCATAGACAGGGTTTACTATAGCTTATTTCCTGCGGCCAGTTAGTCGCAGGCATACACGAACCCGTGATACCGCGTGATTGGAGTCTAAACGGGTACTCCAGAAAGGGCCCCAATCCTCTTCAACGATGGCTCATAGCAATTTGATCCATCGTTGGTTTGAATTCTGTGTACACCATGTGAGACAGTGTCTCTTCCTTATGTCTAAAGTTAATGCTGGCCAAAAACAAATGGTTGTCTGAGCAAAACTGCAAAAGACGATCACCGTTGTCGGCTCTTTGGAACAGGATTCAGTAAATACTTTCCAGCTGCCTCTCTAATTGGCTCAGCTTCTCTACTTGAGTGTTAAACTCACCCTCTATTATAACTACATCTGAAGGGTTTTTTCTGTAGCAGAATTGACAGCTTATCAAAGAATTGATCTTTTGCATCATCATACCTACAGTCAGTGGGTATGTAGATAGAGATCACGAATAGGCATCGCCTATTCTCACGACCCTTCCTAGTTTATGCAGATCCATTTAGTCGAATAACATATAGTTGGTCGTTGACTAATATCGAGTATGAAAGTGCAATGTTAGGCCTACACCAGGTAGTCAACGAAAGCTAGCCATCGGGTCTCTGGATACTCTTAAGTTGAATTTTGAAGATTCACTACTATGGCCAGGTGAGGTCAATTAAATAGCCACACCTGGGTCCCGTGAATGTGTCTCAGAGACACAGCACGTAACCATGGCTTGAGATTCCAGAGTTTTGGCGAGCGATGCTTGTTATCCGGTTTGGCATAGAGTTCGGACGTTGAAAATTCCTACTAGAAATCGATGGCGGGCGGGGTCTTAGAGGTCTAGGAATGAGGTTTCAATGACTTTGATCATAGACAATGTTTACAGAGTGAGAGGTTGGTGTAACGCATATCTTGGCCATCTCAGTTGATGAAGGCTTACAACATCATCAACTAAGTTTCCTCTCCTCCCTAAAACTCTACTCCTGACTTCTGCGTTATCCACAACGTGACACCATGAAAGACGGCCTATCCTACGAAGATGAAGGTTGTCAAACACCCGAAACAGCTTCATATCTTCTACCCTTAATGACCATGTTTCACAACCATACAGTAGAACAGAGCGAACTTTAGTACAGCACAGTCCACCCTTAATAGACAATCGGATATTACGGTGGCGCCACAGATGTTGTAAGTTTGCAAAAGCGAACTGAGCCTTTCGTATCGGTGCAGAGACCAGCACTGATCCGACTTTCCAGGTCAGTGAAGTGTTCAACGCACTCATCCACTTCACTCCCTATTGTCAGTCAGGGTACCGTTGAAGATCAGTCCCAGAGCAACAACTTGTGTTTTTTTGATAACAAACGAATCCCAAACATTCTCAAATTGACAATCAAGGTGTCCAGAAGACTCTGCATCTTGTCAGCATCTTCACTTAACGGGAATGCTCTGTGAATATTCTAGGTCAACCAATCCCCTTGTAGACAGATGATGAGACGGAGACCTTCATAAGAAAGTCAGTGATGAAAATGAATAAGAATGGAAAGAGTAGGGTTCCTTGACGTTGATCACTCGACCTACACAACTCACCCAACATCTCACCATAGACTTTAGCATGCCTACAGATGTTCGAGTAAAAAGCCTTTAATACGGCAAACTTACTAGGTACCCCATTCCAGTGAGAAACCCTGCTATACGACCTCTCGATAGACGGAATCAAATGTCGTCTTCAAGTCGAGAAATACAGCTATTGTCGGGCGTCGGTAAGTGTGCCTGCGTTCCACAACCTGGCGGAGTGTGAATATTTGGTCGATACACTCACGGATTTTTGGCTACTGATTGAAGACAAGTCATATGGACAGATATTACGTACACACGATGATGACAGATTGAAGAGGTGACTTTAATCAGAAATATACAAGGCCAGAATTTACTGTTTACCTTTTTCTCCGGCTTTTCTCGTAAACAATACTGGACAGAAGCACATGTTTTCCCAATCGACTAATCTTCGCAACATTATCATGAGATTTTTTCAATAAATGATGTTTTTAGTCACAGTCAGTGAATGCACCACGTTAAAAATATTTTGCTTTCAAAAGAAAATAAGGAAATGGAACTGTTCTACATTGTGATTTCTAGTCGTGTCACCTCATTTCCTCAACCACTAGCTTTCTTTGTTCAACGAATCCATTATTATTATTAGAAAAAAACGTGGTGCAGCTACGGCACCAAGAAATGCGCCACACTGAATAATATAACAACATCATAAAGATATCAAGCGAAGAGAAGTGAATAAGTTAAAAAAAGAAACACAATAAGAATAAAATGATTAGAAGGGCAGTTCCGTAAGATACATTTGAAACGAAACATTAATTAATCTTCACCAGCAGAAGATAGAAGGAAGCTAAAGCATGACCACCAATGGTTTCGATTCTCAGCCATATCTCACAACGTCTCTAGTCACTGAGTTGTCTGTCTCTCTGACCCCACCCTGAGGGTCGTGATGCTCTAACAGATGCTAACCCAATACAACTATCCTTCATCCCACGGCGCCACGTCATACCCTCACCACACCTCTGCTTCTTCCATCCAGTCCCATGGTTAGCGAACAGTGAACGGTGTGGAAGCCGTTGGGACGACATGTATAACACATGTTAGAGCCACCGAAGCTGGTGTTTCGAGATGATTTCACTTACTGAATGACGATCCCCATTCTCTCCAAACACACGTTGTCATACCTCAGAATTACTTACACGCTGCTGCCATCGGATACGAACAATCCTACGAAGACAACGGTGATCGAATACACAGAACCGTCTCACATCCTCAGCTCGGTGAGGCCAGGCGTAGAGCAGGACTGGTTACACCGAAGAGTTGTAAACCTGACCTTTCACAGTCAGACTAAAGTCAGGACGGCGCCAGAGGTGACCCAGATTGATCTATGCCACTCTAGCTTTCGATATGCAGTTGGAAATTTCATCACACACCTCCACCAGCACCCACACAACTAAACAGACACACGAACTCTTCGACTACTTCCAACGAATAAAATACGTGGGAGGTTTCATGTTTGTTAGTCGGTTTAATACAGCGGTCAGAAACCACAAATATGACTATAATTCCTTAGTTCTTCGGCCAGAAGTAGTAATTCAGTAAACTGAAATCCACTCAGCAACCTTGTGCACACTCATGCAGTAGGCAGCCAACGAGACACTTATTGTGTGAGTGCTAATGACACTACTTGGTCACCCAGGCCACCTCGGTAGATGGAGCGGTATTCGAACCTGTCACCCATTGGTTGAGAGTTATCTCCCTTAAACTACTAAGCCACAGCTTCATAAAATAGTGAAACAGCGGAGTACATACATGCATTCATGTAAATTTCACTTAACTGAATCTCTGTTCATAGAGCAGAATAATAAACATTCGTTGAGACAATCAACTCAATAAGGATGATTATGAAGACAGGAAGAATGTGTAAAAGTTTACGATCACCTTCACTAATGCTTAATTTCACTCTTTAGAAATGATTTGTTATATAATAATTAGTTTTTGAATGACGACAAAAACTGACGTGTCAAAAACTTGATAACTATAGCAACAAACTAAAAGTTCACTTGCTATTAATTCTTTCCCTATTCCTACAAAATCTTAATCCGTGTAGTTCACCTGACTACTGTTGCAGAGTGCAAGTTAGATCAGTTGACCTACGAGCCAAGAGCTAAGCCGATACATACATACGAAAATGCTAAAATTGCCGATTTGTTCAATATAAATGTAATCCAAGTTGAACACGAAGAGTTCATCACTAGATCCACGAAGTCGTGACCACCGATGGGGCGAACCAAGTTGGATGTCACGATAGTTACTCAACGACGGCACTGGATGGAGGTCGTGTTATATTGTAAGCTCACAGAAGTAGGAAGTATGGACCACTGGATTTCAACCCAGTAGCTCAATGGTAACGTGTTGGGCACGGAACCTGAAGGTCCTGTGTTCGATCCCTGGAGAGGTCATGGGTCCACATACTAGGAAAAAGGGCAATCTAGTGCTCCCAGGATTCCAGTGTTTCTCCAACTGACATCAGTCCACGATGAATACCTATCCGGAACCAATAAATAAATCTCTACAAACCTCCAAGTGGAAACATTTTTTCTGTGTGATTTTCTCAATTTTTTTTTATCACACCTCACACCTCAAAATACTGAGTAGAAAAAAAAAATTCTTCAAAGTCAAAACCAATTGACCAATATCATCACAGGGGTAGGAATTACTGCACAATGGTCCAAGTTACCACACCTCATATCAGGAAACCAATTAACAAAGCAATAAGATGAAAGATGAAAAAATGAAGGAAAATCGGTAAGAAGTAGCAGAAAGTAAGAAAACAGAGGGAGGAGGAATGAGAAAGCACTGAGTTTACTACAACTATTAAGATGAAGATAATGTGTGGATGCATCTACGCCTTTGATAACGATTCTGAGCTACATCACATACAGCCTCTCTTGTCCCTCGGATCCCAACTGGCTAGTCTGAATCTGGCAAGACGGCTCAGAGCAATAGTCAAGGGCCTCAAACAGTGATGGCATGTTTGAGTCTGGCCACCTCGAGCCTTTTTCTAGCCCGAACCTACTTCAAATAACCTTGTACGATGCGGCAGACGGTGGTTAGGTATACATAACATATGTCCCGGCCATCTCAGTAGATGGCGGTTCATAACCACATCAACTGACTTTCCGCTGCTTCCCAAAACTCTACATCTGACTTCTGCATTACTTACATGATGGCCTATGCTACAAAGGCAGTGGAAGTTAAACATTAGAGGATTTCTCATGTCCTCTATCTTTAATGGCCAAGTTTAACAGGCGTACAAGAGAACAGACCGAACTGCAGTATATCTCAATTGACTCTTAATGGACAATCAGAAATGGCAACGGCGCCACATATGGCATCAGTTAGTACGAGCTGATCGAGCCTTTTGCAACCATGCAGTGTAAATTCGGAAAAATAATACAACAAAACCCAGTGCATGTATTTGTTTGTTAGGTAAGTAGTTTAGAATCACATATACTGTGTGAGAATTTACGATACTATCCGGTAGCCCATGACCGAAGTAGGCAGAGTGGAGCTTAAAGTTGTGACACGTTGTATGATAGTAGAAATTCTCAACCAATGAGCCAAATCTCTATACATACACTAAGCACAGAAGCTTGTAATATGAATTTCAAACTACCATGACATAAAAGCACTTACCTGAACAAGTTCTAAAAGACTCGAAAACCAATCAGTCTCATCTAAAGTGTAGTGAATTTTGCTGCAAATCGAACTTGTTGTTGTGGAATATTCAAAGTGTTGCTTAGAATTAACAGATCTGAAAGGTCTACGCACTATTCGATAGTGTTGTACATTTGTTGTTGTAGTATCTGATGAAGGCGTAACTGAAGAACCATGACACTCATTGATGATATCAGAGCTCGCTGTTACACACGGAGGTCCAACAACACATAATGTTAGATCACCACTATACAAATCCGACTCACGAATTAAGAAACTACCAACAGGACTACCAGATAGTAAACTTTCTGATTCTGCACGAGAAATCCGTCCATGATACCAACTAGACAAAGGAGAAAAAAAATTATACTAAATATGGAGAAACAGGTCGTCTCAATCACGTTTAATTAAATACAGGATGAATTATTCGATGATGAGACAAAATTAATTCACAAACGATAAACTATTGCAACCAGTTTTGAATCATATCAGTCAGTTTTCGAAAGTCTCATTCAAAAAGTCTGTTTTTTCCACATGGTTTAAATAATCAACGTGAAAAATGATTCAAAGACGTTCAAAACCGAAAAATTTAGTCTCATATCAGTCAACTTCAGTAACCTCATCTCACAGCCGCGGCTCATTAGTTTAGGCAGATGACTTTCAACCATTGGCTTATGGGTACGAAACCACCCTCCATATACCGAAGACCTGAAGTTGTATCAACTGGTTGCTAACGAAATTTTAGCTCGGATACTGAAAGTTTGTTTGGGGTTTGCCAACTTGTATCATCTAAGACGCTGGCGAGATATTTATCTACCAAAGGATGAGTATACTGCTCTACAGTCCGTTTTATCCTGTTGTACGGCTGGGACAGCCGTTAAAAGTAGGGGACTCGAAGTGGTCACTGCATTTCAGTCACAGATGTCTTTGCATCACTGCTCGCATGTGGCTGGACAACCATGTGAGCAATGTTGAGGTCAGGTGAAGGGCACTAGGCAAGTCGATTAATGCGGTTGTGAAGCTTAGTCGACTGAGATGGCTTGAACACGTACTATGCATGCCAACAAAGCACTACCTACCTCGATATCCCATCCTGGAGGAAGTTGGATTAGGTTAGAAGAGGGTTCAGGGTGGCCAGACCGAGATATGGCATCAGTCGACGAAGTCCCTGACTGTTGGTCTGCGGTGTGGAGAGATGTAGACTGCCTGGTTGAAGTCTCTGAGACAACAGGAATCAGTCGATTTTTGGTAACAAGGCTGGAAAAAGGTCATAGTGCCGCAGATGTATTCACTCCGTAGAATCTAAAGCTTGAATATTCGCACTAACCGTTATCTTCAAACTGCTTGTTCTCTTACACAACTTTTTCTACTTCAATATGAGTCTTTTTTTTATTCATCTGTTCTGTTTTACTGCTGTGAAGTGTGGCAACTTGAGCTGATGCACCTTTGTGGGAGGTTCTACACTAATTTTGTCAGGCAGTCAGTCGGGAGAATATCACACCCATTTATAAGCCACAGACAAATCTGCTATTTAGAAAAAGACTGATTGAGCGAAGAAATATATTTCTTTTCAATTAGGTCTTCATCTTGGGCTCTACACTTCTATGTGCATTTATCAATTCAACTGCTCCTGTGGAGCTAGTTACATTGGGCGTACAATGAGGCAGTTCCATTGTCGAATTTCTGGGCACCACCCATCATGGTTGAACAAGGGGCAAATTAGAACTATAAAGAGCTCCATACTTGCACACTTAGCTGACATAGGACATAAAGTGGTTACTGGAAAAGCCTTCAACATTATCCATCGGATTCCAATCAATTTACCTCATGGATTACGCACTCGCACTTACTTCACATAGCAGAGGCGATAGCAATCCACCTTTAAAAACCTAGCCTTTGTATCCAAAAGAAGTTTGTTCGACCACTTTCATTACCGTGGACGTCAACATGATGTAACTTCTAGGTTTATTTTGTGCACCTCTTCCCCTCCTTGTTTCTATCAATATTCATATTTCCTATTTTAGCAACTCTATTAACTATTTACATCATTATTTCCGAAACACCACGTGATTGGTAATTTGATTAAATTGTAAATCTACATATTAGTGTAGAGCCCAAGATGAAGACCTAATTGAAAAGAAATATATTTCTTCGCTCAATCAGTCTTTTTCTAAATGTCTAAATGAGTATATTCAATGTATTGAAATCTGCTATTCACAATTAGGGCATGAAAAAAAAATGGCACTACGAAGGATTATCTCACTAACAGCCACCAAGAGTATCGGTGGCTAGAGGCACTCTTACTAATCGAAAAAGTTAAAAATATGACATGCATGCCCTACATGCAGATATACAATGGAGTTAAGCGACTCCTGAGCAATGGCTATGAGAAGTTAGCAGCACAGAACTTCTACATAGGCTTAAAGATATAAATATATCAAATTACTCGTGGTTTTGAAGGTTCTCCAAAGCATCGCTCTTCCTCTGTACATAATTCAAAGGTATTAGTCCAGTTTCCCCAAGAGTGTTCTTAGCATGAGCCCAGTTAGGATCCTAAATATAGAACTTTCATGAAAAAAGTTTCACTTACCTTGCCAATATTAATTATTTCCAGTGTGTCATTTTTGCGAAACGGTAAATCTTCATTTTTGTCTTTCTTAAATGTATAATTAGCTTTCACAACATCTCCAGCCTTGTAGCCACAATCCATCATACATTCAAGCTTCATAGTTTACGGTGGCATTATCAACACCCATCCTTTGTCAGTTGTATGTGATTTAGCACAAAAATGCCATTCACTTGGAAAGTAACGTAGTCATTTAAAAGTGCCCATGCATTTCCAACATCCAAACTAAACGAAACTTATAGGTTTTAGGATTAGGTTAGAAGAGGGTTCAGGGTGGCCAGACCGAGATATGGCATCAGTCGACGAAGTCCCTGACTGTTGGTCTGCGGTGTGGAGAGATGTAGACTGCCTGGTTGAAGTCTCTGAGACAACAGGAATCAGTCGATTTTTGGTAACAAGGCTGGAAAAAGGTCATAGTGCCGCAGATGTATTCACTCCTCTAGTTCTTGAGTCACGGTTCCAATATCCAATATTGATAGTGCGAGCTTAGAAAGCTGGTAGTTTTTGATCTCTCACGTCTAGTTCTTAGGGCTTGGTTTGAGCTGTTCGGTTCACTCCTGCAGTGGACGAGGAAGTCCCCTCTGCTTTCTTGCTTTCAGCTTCGGTGAGGTAGATGTCTTGTGGGTCAGTAAGTTGCAATTTGTAGAGTGATTGGGGAGCTACGGGTTGCTGGGAAGTTTAGGGAACTGCCGTGACTCCTATCTGTGCAGGTACCTGAAAGAGGACAGTAAGGTAGTGGCAAAAGAATGAAGAGGGAAGAAAAAAAGAAAAAAGACAGAAGAAGAAATAATAATAAGGGGAGAGGAAGGGGAAAAAAAAGGGAGGAGAAGAAAGGGAGGGGTGAAAAAGAGAAACAAGAACGAAAGAAAAGTATTTGGGGATTGCGCGAATGGTCACGTGGGTGTGGTTCCTGCAGAAGAATTGGTAGGTAGCGTGCGTGTACTAGGGAGGGAGATAGTGAGTGGTGAGCAGGAGGGAGGTGAGGGTGGGCTAGTGAGTTTGGTGGCTACCTGAGCACGTCCGTGGTAGATCACGCGAGGTGACAACTGTCTAACCGTCTCTTGAATGAGTCGACTGAGGGAGCTATAACGATATGTCGCGGTAAGGCATTCCATACTCTCGGGGAGAAAAACTTGGACCTGAGTATGATTTTAAAATGGTGAGGAAGAGTTCGGGAGTGAGGGCGCCAAGTTGTCTACGCAAAAGGTGTAGGATGGCATTCGCCCTGGTTGTCATATTTTTGCAGTTGGTGCTAGTGTCCGAGGTGTCGGAGAAGTCCAGCCCCAATTCTCCGTGGACACTCTGGTGATAATACGGTTGCTCAACATTTACTGGAAGTCGGTCGTACTTGCTTCATATTTACTGATGTGTATTACTTTGCACTTTTCCAGGTTGAAGCTCAAGCCATTTTCTGACGACCAGAGTACGAGTTGTTGCAAGTCCCTTTGTAGCGCTGCACAATCAGCTTCCTCGCTTGCCACCCTCCAAATTTTCACGTCTTCAGGGAAGAAGAGGATAGGTGAAGATATTTTATCTGGCAGATCGCTGACAAACAGGAGGAACAGAAGCGGTCTTAGGATTGCTCCTTGGGATACTCCTGACGTCGAGGGTCTCCACTCCGACCTTATTCTGTTTACTTCGGTGCAGAATTCCCCCCTTCCAGGTAGTCCTTGAACCAAGAGAGTAGGGGTTCACTTATGCCAGCCGACATGATCATGTGAAGCAGTACTGTGGGTGGGACACTGTTAAATGCTTTAGCTAGGTCGAGAAATACAACATGCACCGGTTTTCTGTTACCCCAGCCGAGTGTCCAGTCACCCAGGCGGTTAGTTCGTCTGTGGCACATGAGCGACCACTGCGAAAGCCATGCTGAACAGTATGCACAGTGTTTCCCTATTGAGGAATTTTCCGGTAGTGTCACCTACCAGGCTTTCCAACACTTTCGACACTATGAGGAGTAGAGCAATTGGCCTTTGGCTGCCAGGGCTTTTTCTGTCTCCTCCTTTGAAGATGGGTGACAATATGGCACTCTTCCATTCTTTAGGGAGTTTGCACGACTCTAATGAGTGCTCAAAAAGGTTGCGAAGTGGTTTAGTAAGCACCTTGGTGCAGTTTTTTAGGACCGCAGCCAGGGGACTTGCCTGGACGTAGCCTAGATAGTTCCTCGAACATGTTTTCTCTGTAATTGACATGCGACAGAGGTGTCCGTTATTTGCGACCTGGTCGGTGTCGTGGCGAGTCGGCGTGGATCTTGTGTCAGTGCTAAGTTGGGCTTGGAAGTGTGAGCTCAAAAGCTCAGCAGTCTCTAGACTGCCTCGTATACTCCCGTCATGGCCTGTGACAAGATTCACTCCCTCACTGGTCTACTTTCTTCTCGACATGAAGCGGTACAAGTTTGTGGGATTGCTTTGTAACCTAGCCGCCAAGTTTATTTGACAGGAAAATCTGTCGCCACGCACCCTAATGTTACAGCGGTTGTGATTCCTTTTATAGTTCAAGAAGTCAGACTCCCCGCGTGATGTACGCCACCTGAACCAAGCCTGCTTCTTGCTCTGGATAAGTCTCTCTGTCCCACGCTTTAGCCATTAGGTTCTCACTGACAGTCTATGTATTACCTCTGGTACACTGCGGCTGATGGCCCCAGGGGTTATTTCCTTCGTCTCCAACCAGTTTTCATCTATTGTGAGATGAGTCCGGTCTACCGGCCATGATGCATTCATGGGACAGTCCCTGATAGTCTCATAGTTGACCTTGCTGTAGCAAGGGAAGGTGTTAGGTGTCTTCAGTTGCAGAGCCTCCCTAGTAATCATGGAGGTGATTACAGCGTGGTCACTGAGGCCAAGAGGAGGTTGGATGCAAACGTCCTCAATGAGAAGTTCATCGTTCGTCAGAACGTAGCCAAGGCGCGATGCGTTTCCGTTAGGTCCCCAGCGTGTGACATCACCCACTTTCTCTGAGAGGCCAGCAGTCTTAATTGAGTCCTTCAGCTTCTGATTGAAGGATCTCATGCGTCTCCCTTCCGTCTCGAAGAGGATGGACGGGGTGTTTAAGTCACCGGTAATGATAACGGAATCATAATTTGCAGAAGAAATCGTTAAGATTGCCTTGATGACCATTTCCTTATGTGTAGGGGAGCTGGTGGGGGACCGATATACGGCTCCGAGCAGGTATTTGGTACGGTGGGGAGTGAAGTAGCACCATAGAGATTCTGGAAGTTGGGTTAAGACGGTTTCGCTAACCACCCTTGCCTTTAAACGGCAGTTTACGTAGAGAGCCACTCTCCCTCCTGCTCTGTGCTCCCTGTCCCTGCGAAAGAGTTCCATGCCAGTAACATACATCTCTTCGTCCGACCAGAGCCAGGATTCAGTGATGAATATGATGTCGGAGTGCTGATGTTCCCTCAGCGTCCTCATTTCTGCTACCTTCCCTCTTAGCCCCCCAACGTTGCCGTACATACATATTAGAATGTGCCTGGTGAGAGGGGAGAGCTGGTTGCGTATTTTCACGGGATGAGCGCTTACGTGGTTGGGTCTAGCGTCTCCAGTCCTCATAGGACCGGCATTGTTCCGCTTTTCGTGTTTTGTCTTCAACTTGGTTGGGAGCTGCGGCGGTGGTGGCTTCTTCACTTGATGTATCTAACTCACTGGTCAGAGCCTGTGTGATGACCACAGACTCCAGAGGTCTTGGCGGTTGCCGTCTCTCCTCTTGCTTTGTGGGCCTGGGCTTACTTTCACACATACGTATTGAGCCACCCATGCGATCTTTCGCATTATGCCATGCTTGTAGAACGTCTGTGAGGGAGGCATATGAGTCGAACTGGACGGCGAGTAGTCTGGGATTGGGTATGGACTTCAGATGCGCTGGCCTTGGCAGTCTACCGATGCTGTTGGCCGGTATACTGTCGAGGCCAACTTTGGTTGAGAGCCATTGCCATTGTTGGACGTCGTGAAAGTACCGATCTTTAACCGAGTGGTCACTTGGCCATCCTGGAATTCCATGTACAACCGCCACTCCCTTATAGTTGGGACTGGTATCAAGTGTGTCATGGAAGCTTAGTCCCACACGCGTAAGCGTGGATACTCTAGGGAATTCCTCTTTGTTGAGGGTGCAGCTGGTTTTCATCTCTTCCGGTACGCAAAGATGCACCACCTTGCACTTCTACAAACTAAAGCTTAAACCACTCACGGCTGAACTGGACTCCAGCTGCAACAGATTGTCTTGGAGTATCACGGGATCGTCTTCTCTCCCCAGTGTCCTCTATATTCTGTTGCCATCAGCAAGCATGAGAATGAACGAGGAGAGTTGAAAGGGGAGGTTATTCACAAGTAGCAAAAATAAGGGTGGTCCAGGTATCTCACGTACAGAAACTCTCGTTCTTGCACGCCCCCCCCCAGGCTGATCGAATTTTGCTCATTTTCGCACAGAATTCTCTGTTCTCTGGATATGCTGTTAACCATGCTATGAGACTTTCAGTGATACCCACTTTGGGAAATTAGCGATCAAGGTGTGGTGTGGGATGCTATCAAAAGCTTTGCGCAGGTCCATAAAGACTGGTTGCCTGTAGTCCCGTCTAATAGTCCAGCTACCTCAAGCGGTCACGTAGTGTCAAAAAACCGTCCGGTTCTAAACGACGTTCTTTCTGCTTATGACACCCCACGCTACGTCTGCAACCAGCCTCTCCAGTGCCTTGGACGGTATGGGAAGCAAAGCTATCGGTCCGCCTCCGTGTAGGTTTTTTCTGTCTCTTCCCTTGAGGATCAATGAGATGGTCATATGCCTGCATCCTGCGGGGAGATTTACTTCCAATGAGTGCGTGAACGAACAACATATGGCTTTGCTCAGCGCTTCAGCACAAGTCCATATTATCACTGATTTCATGTAGTCATACTCCGGAGATTTCTCTTTTCTGGGTATTGAAGGCCTTTCAAACACTTGGTTTAACGAAACCCTTACGTTTTTCACCTTTGCACTGCAGCCCCGAAACTTCGTTACTTTACTGTGTGTGAGTGGTGGATGCATCACTGTGTTGAGTTGCCTAGTGTATGGGCTTCCCAACAGTCCCGCAATCACACTTCCACTCAAGGGTTCTCTGTTCCGTCCTA